GTGTATACATCTGGTTTGGGGTTTTTTTTCCCTGAAATAGCTTTGGGAATGTTCAGCCGAGCGGCTGCGTTGGACGGGAGGTACGGATCTCCAGCACGGGGGCTGGGGTTAGCAATCTCCTCTGTCTGCACCACTGGACCCTACGTGGGATATCCGTGGGCACTCCCGTAAAGCAGCTTGTTCAGGTCCCCCTCTGGAGCCAGCGGCGGAGCGGCCGGAGCCTGGACCCGCTCCAGCGCCGCAATTCCAATGAGCCTCCGCAGGGATTTTAACTACCCCTGGAGAAAAGGTGAGTTCCCGCCCGTGACTTTGTCCTGTTTCATTCCAGGCTCGCGAGGCGGCGGCGAAAGCCTTGGACCTGGCAAAACAGCTGCCCCAACAAGAGTCTCTCGGAGCCATTGGTCATTTGTTGGAGTTGATTAACTCCAACCTTTCCGGCACGAAATAAGGAATTCCTTCTGCCAGAGCTGGGTGTCGGGCTCGCTTGTCTCTCTAACTGGGTTGTGAAAAGGAACGGCCTTACCAGCCGTAGGTCCCATCCCGTCTTTCCGGACACGTCCCTTTCCGTGTCGAGGTGTTGGAAAATTAAACATTTTGGAACGAGCTGGTTTTCATGCGCTGCTCGACCTCCACAGACCCTCACGGAATAACGGCGTGAAGGTGGGAAACAAAAGCACAACCGGCACGCGATGCATAAATCATCACTTCAGGAATAAGCAAACGGCCTCACGGCCTCACGCTGGCGGAAGCTCAGACCAGCTGGGATGTATTTGTCCCGGTTTCCTCAATTGGCCTTTCGGTTTGAGGAGGAGGAGGACATGGGGAAGGTCTTCACTGCGTATCTAACTGGGGTGGCTGTCCCCTGCTCCCCAGGACCTGGTTGGGCTTGATCCCGTGTCCCTCCCGTATCCCTCCATGGTATCTCCCTCATGGAACTGGAAGGCAAATTGAGGAAACCGGTAAAAAACACATCTGCAGCGCCGCTCCGGCTCCAAATATACCTTCTCTCTTTCTCTCCATCTCCAAATCTACATTCCCTTTTTCTCTCCGTCTCCAAATCTATGTTCCCTCTTTCTCTCCTTCTCCAAATCTACGCTCTCTCTTCCCGCAGTGTTTTAGAGCAGTCCCGTAGCTCTGGGCACGGAGGGACTCACTCGTTCCGCTCATGGAGGAACTTGCATCCAGGAGGGACCACAAGAACAGCACGAGGGACCGTGAGCAGCGTTGAGGGGAAGGGTGAAAAGGCCGCCCAGCTCCAACCAGCGCTTCCAGCCCCAAGGAGACGTGGTTTCCTCACGGCCGAGAGCTCGCCAGCGCGCCGGCATGTCGTTAGCTCTGACACCGACCTCGGGGAGGAAGTCCCTTGTGTCACCACGTGCCTCTGCCGACAGAATTCCACCAAGCGCCGCTCCCAGCCTGCAGCAATCCCGGGCTTCTGCCCTGAGAGCGGGGAGAAGCCCGGCGGGGAGAGGGTACGCGTGACCATCGGCACGCAGGGACGGGGCCGTTGGAGCAGGGCTAGAGGGGACCCCGGGGAGCGAGCCGGGACGCGGCCGGCGCGGTGAGCACGGTTCAGACGCCGAAGCATGTGACGGCCTCGCGGAGCGGGGAAAGAAGCTGCGGGAACCTGGTCCCGCTGCGAAGGTCGGAGCGCGGCTGAGCTTTAAGCTCCGATTAAGTCTCATTTACTCCAGGAGGGTTTCTGAGCGCGTTTCTTTGCCGTGCCAAGCTGGCACGGAGTCAAACGCGTTTGCTGAGACGCCGCATCAAGCTGGGGCCTGAGCACTGAGCAGGGACTGGTGCTGCTGGAGTCTCCGCTTCAGCCCGCGGCGCGCGGCACGGGGTGCGGGTAGCGCCGGTCGGGGTGCACGAGGG